AGCCGGGTGCCAGACTGGCCGTGGGTGATCACAGGGGGTTGCAGCTCACCAGCTGTAGGCCATTAGAGCATGGTCCAGGCTTCCTAGCAAACCCCTGCTTTGATTCTGTTCATTATCTTGGGAGGAGAGTGAGGGACTTTGGGAGCTTTCATGCAGGCCCCTGGGTGGTCATTGACTTCATTGACTTCAGAGCACTGGAATAAGCTGCCCAGAGAGGGTGTGGAGTCTCCATCTCTGGAGATGTTCAAAACCCACCTGGACACTTTCCTGTGCAACCTGGTGTAGAGAACCTGCTTTGGGGGTTGGACTGGATGATCTCCTGAGGTCCCTTCCAACCCCCACCATTCTGGGATTCTGTGACTTTGCTGTTGGCTGTGGACAGAGCTTCAGTAAAATGAGTTCTGTGTGTGACCATCCAGAAAAGCTTCACATGAAGAGGTGAGGGCACAGCAGTGGGGTGGGAAAGGGAATGCACACCACCCCTTTCACCCTTTAGGGCCATAAAACAGCTGCAAAGCTTCTTGCTGACATCACTGAGTTCATCAAAAGAGGAGCAGAGGTGTCACCATCTCCCTGCTTTCCCAGGGATGGAGAGGGAGGGCAGGGGAACGGCAGGTGCCCACTGCAGGGGCATGAGGCACGGGGGCAGAGCTTGGAGAAAGAGGCAGGTGAAAGGAGGAAAGGAGGCTGAGGGGAGACCTTCTGGCTCTGTCCAACTCCCTGAAAGGAGGGTGGAGAGTTGGGGGTGGGTCTGTTCAACCAAGGAACAAGGGACAGGACAAGAGGAAATGGCCTCCAGTTGTGCCCAGGGCAGTTGAGATGGGATGTGAGGAAGAATTTCTTTGCTGAAAGGGTTCTGAGGCATTGGAAGGGGTTGCCCAGGGCAGTGGTGGAGTCCCCATCCCTGGAGGGATTGAAGAGTCGTGTAGACATAGTGCTGAGGGACATGGGTTAGCTGGGGACTGGTCAGTGTTGGGTTCATGGTTGGACTCGATGAGCTTAAAGGGCTTTTCCAATCCAGGCAATGCTGGGATTCTGTGAAAGCACGTGGGCTGTAGATATCTGGAGACTCCTGAGCATTTATAGTGAACATGCACTCAAAAGCTGCTGGTGCTGTTTTCGTGTCCACATGATCACAGGCAGCTCCTGTTCCCTGACTCCCTCATCCCATTTTTCCAAGTGGGAGCACACACAAGGTACAGTGCAGGGTGCTGCATGCTCAGAGCACCACGCAGCACTTTAACCACAGCCCATCCATCCTCATCCTCAACTCCAGACCAAACCATGCTCTGCTGGCACAAGGGAACAGACCAGTGAGGAGCAGAAGCCCCGTTACTGGGCTTGTCCAGGAGAAGGATGTGTGGTCCTCCCCTAAGCCTTTTAAATATCCATGAGACTAAAAGATTCATCAGATCTCATTAGCTCTTGAATGAATATAAAGGGTTCCCACCCGACATGCACCCAACCTCCTTTCCATGAGCCAGTATCCCCATGTAGTCACTCTGTGTACATCATCCGTGTCCTGCTGGGATGTGGGAAGACGAGGGTTTGGCCAGTCCATCCTCCCCAGCATTTCCCCCAGGGCAACAGTTAATTCAATATCTGCACATTCTGAAGAAAAACCACCAACACAAACTCAGCAACTCAACTGAACAGACATGCAGTTCCACCTTGAGAACTGGAAAAAAAAATGCTTTTGTTAAAGCCTTTCCCCAGCACCCACAAAGGTGAGATCTCATTCCCAAGGGCCCTGGGCCTCGCTTGGCTTCTCACATTTGCTGCTTTGCTTGTTGCCATCTCTGATAGTTTAACTGGGCTGGCAGCCAAACACGACACGACCGCTCACATCCCCATCCAAGGAATAAGGGAGAGAAGTGGAAGGGGAAAGGTGAGGAGACTTGTACGTTGAGAAAAGAACAATTTCATAATTGGAGTAAAATTAAAATAGTAATTATAATGATAACAAATAAATATACATATATATATATATATATCAATGAGTGATGCAGAGTACAATCACTCACCACCCGCTGACAGTGATTCTGGAGGAGTGAAAAGGACCCTCGAACCCAAAACCACAATCCCAGAAGAGTGAAGCCCAAGCAATTCCTCAATGTCCCCACTTTCCAGTCAACCCTGGTTAATATGATGTGATAAGATCTGGAATATCTCATTAGCATATCCAAATGCCAGTTCTGGGCTTTGCTAATTACTACATTTACCCCCCCCCCCCCCCACATTACTACACTTCCCCCCTCCCAGTCCTTTGCACTCACAAACTACCAAACCCCATGTCCTTGTACCTTATCAACATTCTTCTCATACCAAATCCCACACTGA